AATCTGGGTCTGCCCATGGTCACAGTTCCCTCACACATGACCAGTCAACCCGGCTCTCGCCACGGGTTGCAAAGGGGAAACCTGGGTTCTGCATCCTCCTCCTCCCTCTCCTTTCTTTCCTTCCAACCGACCTTGGTGTTCTTCAGAGTTGTTCTCCTCAGGCCTCACTCCTTTCTCCACTGCAGGTCTCCTCCGATGGTTATGGAGATCCTGGCTCTCTGTCTTTTTTTTCTCGGGATGAAGCTGCAGCAGGGCTTAAGCTTAAGTTGTGGTAAGGGCCGGCCAAGCCCAGCTGGGCAAGGCTGGGGCCACGCCACCCACACCTGGGGCCGCGCTGGTCAGAGCTGGTGCCAGAGAGAGCGAGGCATGCCCTGCACCCCCCTTAAATACATGAATTCGCAGGAGCGCTGATTGACTTGGCCCTGGTCAGAAGTGGGTCTGACAAAGGAAAAGGGGGAGCTTTTCAAGTAGCTTCTTAAAGGGCCATCTCCATAGCCCTTCCCCCGTTACCAAAGACACAACCAAAAACCCCTCACAGAAAAACCCAATACAAGTACTTTTTCCTAATGCATCATCAACCCCACTGCAACACAGCCATAACCAAAACTGACAAATAAAATTCCATGATCCAGAAACCTTCATAGTCCCGTAGTTTTAGGCAATAGGAACTGAGGTATAGAAAGAGGAATTGGGCACTGCCTCATACCTGTGCCCTGATCTACACATTTTCATAGACTCATAGAATAATAGAATGTACTTGGTTGGAATGTTACTCCAACAGGTTGCTCAGAGCCCCATCAAGCGTGACCTTGAATATCTCCAGGGATGGGATCTCCACCACCTCTCTGGATAACCTGTTCCAGTGATCTACCACCCTCATACTGAATAACTGTTTTGTAAAATCCAACCTAAATCTACCCTTTTCTAGTTTAAAACCATTACCCCTCATCCTATCGCTACCTGCCATAGTGAACAGATCTTCCCCAGATTTCTTATAGACACCTTTCAGGTATTGGAAGGTCGCTATAAGGTCCCCCCGGAGCCTTCTCTTCTCTAGGCCGAACAACCCCAACTCTCAACCTATCTTCATAGGAGAGGTGCTCCAGCCCTTTGATCAAGGTAGTACATTGGCTAAGATCTTCTAAGGAAAAACAGGAATTAATTTTAATTTCATTGGGCTGTTTTTCAGAGTTGTGTTGTGGTTGACCTTTTTAACCATTACATATAATTTTGCTGATTGAAAGTATCAGCATGCCAGCCCCCATACATACTCTGTTCTGTATTCTCCTGGGTGTTTCTGCCAAGGCACTGCTGGTATCTGTATGAATTTCTGCTCAGCATGAGGCCGTGCCATGGAGATGGACCTCAGCTGTCCAGGAGTGGGAAGCAGTGCAGCTTCGTTACTGCAGCACTCGCTCCATCTACAACATACCCTGCTTCTCAGCAGGATCAAATCAGCCCATACTGTTTGGAGGTGCCCCATGCTGGGTAGAAATACGTACAGCTTGTGAGTTGAGAGCTGTATTTATGTGTTTGCAGCACCTGAGCTTGTTCGTTTGCAATTAGCTCAGGTATCTATCTCAGTGCTTCCTATGGAGGATAACTTTTTCTCTTCCTTGTTATCACTTACAAAATGTGTAGTTGAATGTGTTTACTCATGTGTGTTTAATTACAGGAGAATTTATACCATAGGCTGCAGTTACATTTCTAAACTGTAGAGGAGTTGTCAAGACTGAATGTCCCTGATGAAAAGCAATGCAAATTGAAGCACAATCTATTATATGTCAGTGGTAGAGCCATTAAAATCAGATCCAAGAGCCACTGATATGAATGAAAAGATGCACAATAAGTTTATTGAGCATAGAATGAGCCTTTAATGAGGCTCTCAAATTAGGAAATGAACAGTAAAGATAAATGTAACTGTAATCTCTTGTATAAGAGGTTTATACCACATTTTTTCAGTCATCATTTTCTTCGCTGCTGAGACTACATGTCATCTCAAAAGGCAATACTGAATACAGATGTTTCTTCCTTGATTACAGTGGTGTCAGCCACTTGAAAGACTCTTCGGGCTTCAAACACTTCAAAAGTCTAGGTATTTTCATCAGCTGCCTTCTTTACCAGTAGGTTGTTTCCTCTGTCCAAAATAAATCATTTTATTCTGACAAAAATAATAGAAGGTTACCTGTTGGCAGGATTTAAATGGCTCTGTGGTATAAATAGACAAAAGTGCATACCTAGAGAGTACCATTTTGCTTTGTTTTTGCTGTCAATGAAGGTAAAGGGGTTGATGACGCTGAAGAAGTGACCTGTTTTGCAGGAAGTAATAAAGGCAGCAACTCCGAAGTACAGTCCCTCAGCTCCTTCCAGTCTGATTCTGGTGATGATAATGGTAAGAAGTGGTTTTATATTTATTATACTGGAGGCAAAGCTATTCAACTCTCTTTCTAATATTGTTGAAACCACTTAGGTGACATCTAGAAAACACTTTAATGATGCTAGAAGTCAGAAAGCCCTGGGTTCAAGCCCTCACTTTGTGTCCATTTTTTAAACTATAAGAATGTAATTTAATTCTTGAGGCTTGGAGCTGTTGTATCAGTACCAAGCTTTACTGCTAATTAAATGTGTGATACAGCAGAGTCACATTGCTAAGAATTAAGTTGACTAATAGGTTGCAAGTGAAACTGTAGAATTTCTATGATTTTCCCTCTTGGAAGAGGATGACTTTTGTGTTTCATCAGTTAAGAGAATTTTTGTGCTATTTCCCAGGTGTAATTCATGGTCCCAACAAAACTCTCGTGCTCAGCATCAGTGGATGAGCCAGTCCCTGGTGGCTTGGCCTGTCCTTGGCAGTCACAGCTCAGCAAACAATAGAGCACCATTAAATCCTTGCTCAGTGAATGCTTGTTGCCCGCACCCATGCCCTTCATCATTATCTCAGTGAGTGACATGGGCAGAGCCAAACAGGGCCTGAAAGAGGCCTAGAAAGTCATAGCAAACCTTTGTTCCTACAGCCCATGTATGTTGAGTGGAGGGTCTGAGAAAAGGCAAGGTGTTTCTGCCAGGGAGGGATGATGGATGTCAGAGAATTCTCATTCAGATACACGGAAAAAGATTAGCACAAAGAAATTGCACTTCATTTCCTCAGCTGCTAGTTAATGAACTGCCTGGAGACTCAGTTCCTCAGTCATGTCATGCAGCTCTTCCCTAGGTACTCCTAAATGTTGGAAAAAACACTTAAAGAAAAGCACACTTGCATTGCCATTTGATTCAGCTGTAGCTGAAGCATCATGAATATTTTTGTCAAGCTTCTCCGTGCTTTTCTGCTCCTGCACACCCTCAAAAAATTGTGTTTTTTAGAATAATTATTCGATACACTATTATTTTAATAATATACATTTATATTATAATTACTTTTAGAATAATTATTCAGGTGGTCATTTATTGTACATAGTTACTTTTTGTATCTCCCAAATTCTAATTGGGCTTTTCAAGCATCTGATCCTACCCCCATTTAAATCAGTGACACAGTACCCACTGAAGCTAGACTCAACCTTCTTTGCCCACTCATTTTTTGTGAAAGCTACATTTAAAATACAGCCTTTAGAGATAACAGTTCTAGGTCAGGGTCTAAACAAATCCGTATCTTCGTGGAGAATGAGGGAGGAAACTTAAATCATCTGAGTCAATTGCAGAGGTCAGTGCAAGACTGCACGCTTAGGTTTTCTTGCAGCAACGGGGAATGTTTTCAGTGAAAGAGCCTAACATATAAATACAGGCGTAAGTAAGCATATACATGCTCACATGCATGTACATAAGCGCTAACAGATATCCCTCTTGCAGGCATAAACCTTTCCCTCTCCTGACATTTTAATTCTTTGTGCTTCACAACCCTGCAAAGGTGAAAAGGTTGTCAGTGAAACCACAAGTGCAATTCAGCATCCATGCTCTTTGGGGAGACAGGATAGGCTGCTCCTTCCCCAAACTCCTTCCTCCAGCGCCCCGAGCCATGCTGCTCCAGAGCCATGCTGCCCAGTGCTCCCATGGCTGGCAGTGGGGACCGGCTTCTGTCATGCTGCCCTACAAACGATTGTGCCAACACTGTCTTGTGAAACTGGTTAATCACTTCTGACTGGGGGGACCTGTTTTGCACCAAAGCAGCACTGGGACGGATCCCGCCAAAGGTGTGAGCAGCCCTGCGCTGTTCAGTTTGTATCACATGCAGGCAGCCTCCACTCTTCGTGGTGCCTGGAGCCTTCTCTTGCTGGGTCAAATAGGAGTTGTATCACCATGTGAACTCCTTTTGGGTGCAATTCTGAACCTTTTATTTTTTCTACCTTATTTCTATTGCATTTAAATTGCTCAGTTCCCCTAGTCTTGCTGAGAGTTAGCAGTATTTTTGTGATCAAAAAGAAGCAATTTTATTAGTCACACATTTAAAAAAAAAAATGCCCCCTTTCAGCAATAACATTCTGAGAAGTCACTTCAAAGGCAAGTTACAGGTTTCTGTGGTAAGCTATTCTGAATGAGGGGAACATGACAGAAGTGAATTTTTAGGTTGTTGTTTCACTGCAGGCCAATGGATGGTTGTGCTGGGAAGTCCAAGCAACTGCTGTTGATGATAGTAATTTTTACTCCTGAGCAATGCTGCATTTGGGTTTTGCCTTGCACTGAGCTGTTTGGGGTAGGAGAGTCCCTCCCTGCTGTGAACATATTCAGCTCAGCTCCTCCCTGAGCCAGCCCTCAGTTAAAATGAAGACCATGCTGTCCCTGGGTTTTGACCTTCCATTTTTCACTCTCAGTTGTTCTCCTCTTAGAGTTTATGGCTGACCTCTATCTTTTCCCAGCCATGCAACAGCTAATTACATGGAGTCACTTATTTTTCCATATTTTTTGTTATGCATTAGCCAACACAAGTCTCCCTTGTACAATTATCAACGCTGTTGATGGCATTAACATGCTCAGTGTAGACATAGAACATGGTTTCTTTGGTTTGTTAAGGCTTCTTTTGCCAGGCCTTCACAAAGACCGGGGAAGTTGGATGAGATCCTTAATCCTATGCCCAAAATTTAACAAAGATGTCAAAATATTCAACATATATTTGAATGGCACTATTACTGTTGACAAGTTTCTTGTCACCAATTTCTATTGGCTGTGTGAAAGGAAAAAGTATGTCTTGCACAACATTCCTGGTCCCCTTCTTAGCCCGCTCCAAAGCAACCAGTTTTCTCATAATTAAAGAGAAAGGGAAAAGAATGGATCCAGCATCCACTGAACCAGAGCTTTCTCTCTGGTTTTGGTGAGTTTCTTTTCAGGACCTCAAAGGCAGGGGTATTAGTTGCTCCAAACTGCAGATCATGTAGAGGACCACACATTGAATGCCTGCTGGACTCCGCGTTAAACAATTGCACAGTCTATATTAATTATTTCAATCAAAAAGTATGTTTTGGTAAAACACCTGCAGAGAACACACAAAGCATTTGTGAAAATATTCTGTCAAACACAGATCAAAATTTGAACCAAACCTACTTGGATGTATCCTCCTAATTATAGCAGTACTGCTTAATGTTCCAGGGGTATTACACAGCACATCACAAACTGTAAATAAGTAAAAGATTTCTCTTAGGAAATAGATTGAGCTTAGCACCATTTCAGATGATGTGATGGTCTAAAAGATAATGATCCCTTGGAGCGCATGGCACTGTCTCTAGAGATGTTTAAGCGAGAATGAATTAGAAATTAGTGTCAGGTAGACAAGATACTGCTTTGGTTAATTGAATCAGCTGGCCAGTCTGCTTGAATTTATGAGATGATACACATCATACCATATGCCTTTCTGGAAATGCTGGTTTGGAATTTATCACCACTCTGAAAATGTATGGGATTATCTGAAATGAAATGTCCTGCAACCCACTGCATAAATCATGCATTGGTTGGCAGCGTTGTTTTTTTTTCAATGTCAGTTCTGTCTGAGAGAATTTATTGTGGTAACATATGATGTGTGTTTTAAATACTAACCTGAAGCTGTCCTTCCCCTCCCTTTATTTTCTGCTTTCCCTCCCCTGCAAGCTTCCATAGTGACTGTCATACAGCTTGTCAACAATGTAGTTGACACTATAGAAAATGAAGGTATTTAATTTTTTTTCTTTCTTGTTATGCAACAATGCTTCCTGTTTTCATTGTGAAACATTCCAGCAGAACCTCACTAGTCTACACTGACAAGCAAACCTGTGGCAGGGATTGGGTTTTGCAGATCAGCACGTTCACCAGCAAACACGAAAACGCCAGAGCGATGTACCACAAAATATCTGTGGGTAGTTGGAGGTGGTAGAAAAGGTGTCAAGGCGTTCCTCCTCTTTTATTCAAGTCAATGGTTTTGCTTGCTTATTCCCATTGCCTTCAGAGAAAAAGATTATGTTGATAAAGGAGCCAAATCATTGAGATTATCTTGGCTGCAGAGATTGGGAAGCAAAAGAAGACACAGAAAGGCTGTAAAGTATCCCAGGCTGCAGTAGAGCTGGGTTATGCACTCCAACGAGACCACATGGAGAGGAGCAAAGTGGTGGTAGGCAGGTGGCCGATTTCTCCCAGGTAACACTGTCTAATAGGAGATGTGTAGACACAACTCATGCCACGTAGCTGGACAGCCTGCCTGCCACCGCCTTTCCCCTGAGGTTGATGTGCCCATTGAACAGAGCATGGAAGTTGGGTCCAAGGACCCAACACTCAGCTCTGCCACTGACCCTCCTGGGTAACCTCAGGCACATCATGTTACAAGTGAACTGGTTTTCCTACCTATAGAAAAGGAATAGCACTGTTTTCCTCTTCTGTAAAGTACTGAGGAAATGTAATAAGTATTACTTTTATTTATTTACACAACATTTATCTTATCCTTGGGGAAGCGTCAACATCAACTCAAGTTATCCACAAGTCCAAAATTTCATCTGTCTTTAGCAAATTTAAGCCAGGTTTTGCAGACTTCAGCTGATCCAGTCTACATAATGCTTAAAGATGATCAAGTACATTATTTTTGTGAAACGACTGATTTTTTTCTTAAGCCAGTGTTACAGTAATTCTGAAAAGCACTTTTACTCTTAGCTAGTGCTGGCACTTGAGTGTTTGTCTACAGTGTATTTACTGTTTTCCTGAAGTGTAAGAGTGCCATTCTTCCTTCTATCAAATCAAATGACCTAGCCAAGGTTAATTCAAAATTAAAATCTCACTCAAAACATAAGAAAATAACCTTGAAATGAAACCACAGACACTGTAAGTGGCCTTACCTTCATAAAGGAAAGCCTAAGCAAACACACTGGCTCCCCATCATGCTTTACAGGTCAGACAAAGTCAGTCTGACAGCAGTTTCAAGAGGCTGTCACTGAAAATGCTTTACCCACTTCCCAGTTCCTTATATGAGACTTATGAATCTTGCATGCTCTGCAGTGGAGCTGGTGAAGGCAGGCAGTAGTTATCTGCAGCTCCCAGTGCACAGTGGGCAGAATTGCTGCTGCGGAGCTGCAAGAGGATGGGGCTTCTTCCCCAGGGCGCTGCCAGGGGTTGTGCGAGTCAGCAAATTAGTGAGGTTCTCCTGGATCCTGAAACCACACGGCTTGGAGGGACCTGACACATCTTGGGTGCAATGTCATTACACAGACCGAAAGATAGCAAAATCTGCTGTATGAAGCAAAGAGAGACGTGAAGAAGGAGAAGGGTGGTTAGGGCCGGTTCAGACACTGCTGCTAAACCTGCAGTAGCCCCAGCCCTCCTCACCACAGGCTAACACAGAGTAGGTAGAAAGCTACTGTCTGGCTGATGAGCGAATGAAGAGATCACATGCACCATGTGGTGATAAGCAAGGGCAAGAGTGATGGTAGTAGATGGAGGCCTGTAGAATAGTCTCTGCCGTTGTCTGTGGTAGAGCCCTAGAGGTTAAGTATTGTAGTGCCATGAAGATCGGTTGATCTGGCCAGACCTCCTCCAGCAATGCAGTCCAGAGACCTTGACCAGTGACTTCTTGCATGAAGCCCAATAATATGTAGCTGAACAAGAGCATCTCATCTAGAAAACGCTGCAGCTTATTCTCCACTCTTGTCTCACATAAAACCTCTTTCCTTGCTCTCTCCCCCACCCCTGCACCTTCTCCATACTGGAATGCCTCCCTCCCCACCAGCTAGCATGGCAGTGCAGGTGGGAGGTGGGTATGGGGTGGCGGGGCATTGTAGCTGACAGCCCCATTAAATGGCTTTGTATTCTATTCTATTCAGGTTCTTATACCGTGCCCATCACCATGGTATCTGAGCCCAGGTGGGCCCAGATTTGTTTGAACCAGCCCTGAGAATGGTAGATTCTTATTTTTCTGTTTCAAAGTGAACAAGTGAGAGAGAAATGTACTTGCAATTATAAACCTTAGAGATGGTAGATAGCCCTTTTTGTATTAAGAATTCCAGCTCTAATGTAATTCCGTAACTGTTCAGTGAGGGTAAATAATTTAAGATATGATAGAATAGGAATAAAATAGACATGACATAATCATTTCTTTATGTATGTCTGCATTCGGGCAAGCTTATCTTGTACACTAAAATAATGAACAATTAAAAATCTTATTAAAATGACACTGAGGCAGCTGTACTTTAGACATATGCATGCAGAGTTTTGTATTTTCACGTGTAATACTATGCTGGTAACAAGCTCCGAGTTACCAGTTTTTACTTTTCACTTTGTATCTGACAGTGTCTGTTATGGATCAAGGACAGAACTACAACAGAGGTGATTTTTCTGAGACACTTTCTGCCTGTTGGACTGGGCTGGGGTGGGCAGGGCACTGTCTTGGTCTGTTTTTTTTCTTGAACTGCTTCACATGTCCTCTTTTGTTTGAATTCTGTTGGGTTCGAATGCTGCATGAGAATGGCCAGCCACCTTTTTTTTATTTCAGGATCCAGTTTTTGGTCAATCACATTATTTGCTTGCACACTTTCTTTCTTGAAACAAAGTCATTGTAGGTGGAAGGGGAGACTAGATGTGATACCATAAGCATGCTGACTGCATTTGTAGATTTTTTTTCAATTAACTGAAAAGAATTAACTCAGAGATTTTTGTAATTTTGTTTTCCTGCACTCATAGTTTCTAATACAACTCAATAGCATCCTAAAAAGCAAAATGCCTGAGAGTGGCCATGTTTTGTTTCTTTGCTTGTTTGCATTAGCGTCATGATACAATTTATTCTCCTTCCCTACTGCCCCAGTCAGAGCATGGCTGACCTGTGTCGATGGCCTGTGGCGCATGCTGTGATGCGAACGTGCTGTGAGGACTAGGAGGCGAGTGCATGCAGGACACTTTCTCTTCATTAGTGGCATCATCCTAATGGAGATCTGTGGTTCTCTTTCCCGCTGCAGCGTATCATTGGGATACCTCTGACTGGATGCCAAGTGCTCGCTTGTCCGACATTGAGGAAGTGCCCAACTTTGAGACGGCAGATGGAGGCTCGGCTCATCACGGCAGTACCAGAGAGCTGGAAACAGATTACTACCTTGGTGGCTACGACATTGACAGTGACTACCCTCCCCCTCATGAAGAGGAGTTTTTAAGCCAGGACCAGTTACCACCTCCTCTTCCAGAGGATTACCCGGACCAATATGAAACCCTCCCACCCTCGCAGCCAGTCTCAATGCCAAGTACACTCAGCCCTGATTGCAGGCGACGGCCACACTTCCATCCTAGCCAATACCTCCCTCCTCACCAGTTCCCCAATGAGACGGACACTGCAGGGTCTCAGACTGGGAATGAATTTAGTACTTTTGCTGTTGGCCCAAGCCAAAACACAGAAAACATTAGTGCAGGTAAGTTGCCCTTATCCTTGCACAACTCTCTAGATGCCTCCTCCTCTGACGTCTCAGCCAGCTGCGGCTTTGATGACTCTGAAGTAGCCATGAGTGACTATGAAAGTGTGGAGGAACTCAACCTAGAAAATGTTCACATTCCATTTGTGGAGACCCAGCATCAAACACAAGTGTAAAGGAAGTTCCCTTCTTCTTCTTCTTCTTCTTCTTCTTCCTCCTCCTCCTCTTTTTTTTTCTGTCATTTGGTCCAATTAATAGTATAAATATTGAGAAGAAATTTTGCTGAAGGTGTATCTATATATATTGGGCAAGGTAAAAATACAGTATAACCCATTATTAACTTGTTCAGAAATGATACTGTATGTGCAGACACGAAAAGACCAGTTGTGTTAAGTATTATACATCGCAAAATTGTTACAGACAATCTGGAGAGTATGTACTTTCTATTTATTATCAAGAGTAAAACTCAGCTTTTGAGGCAGGGGAAAACAGTAATTGCTAAACAATTTCTTTCTCTCCCCCAAAGTTTGCTGGGGTTTTTTGGGTATTGTATTATTAAAAGTGTTACAGTGTTATGGTCTCCCCACAGTATTAAGGAACTGGTATGGATCATTTCAAGATGCACTGTTGCATGAAATTTTATGTCAGTGAAAGAGTGAAAGCAATTTATCGCTGAGGTTGTTGTGTACAACACGTTCTATGGCTGAAAAAAATAGCATTTACAAATTGACCTGTCAAAGACACGCGACCAGTCATCTGTCCATAAATGTTTATCTATACTTTTGTTTGTTACATAGCATTTCATTCTACTTTGTATGCATATAGAGCAACGTATGTACAGCGTACATTTACTCCAAATTGGCCTACTTTGCTTGCCATTTTTTAAAATCTGATGTCAGGTGCATGTGCACAACTTCACCCATGACGACTTCTAGGAATGTTAGAGTTTGGCTCAGCAGTGTCCCAGTTTTGCCCCAGCTGCATATGCACAGCCTCTCTTGACTTCTGTACGCAGTGCGAGCATGTGTCTGAAAACACTGAGAAACCAAACTATTTACAAAGAACTGATGGGTTTTTTTTAATTCCTTGCTTGGGCAATCGCCTCTTTAACAGCACTCATCGTGCTACAATTATTGCAGTAAAATTAGTTGCAATTTAGTTGCATATAACGCTGCTGTAACCTCAAATCATTAGCTTAATGTCATTTGGCAAATATCCATCCTTAGAGTTTACGGGATGAGTTCTCAGCTGCTGTGAATTGACTCAGTTGGTGGAGCCACACCGATAGGCCATGACCAGAGATCTAGTCCTAGATTTTCCGCTGGATGTGTGGTTTAAGGACTTCCAAAGGTTGCTTGCAGACTTCAGAATATACATCAGTATCCTTTTGTGCTTCCCTCAGACTGATTGGAATAAACGGCCTTTCACACAGATTTGGCCTAAGCAGCTAAGTGCAATACGGAAATATGGGATTTTTACTCAAATGTATTAAAGTGGAATATAAATATGTTTTTACCAAGGCATTTTAAGCATCTGTATACCTTATACAGTGAATGTGAGTCCGCAGTCTGCATTACTGCTGGGGTTTAATCCATTCCTTCCATGGCATAATTCAGTCATTCTGAAAAGCATACACACATCATTTATATAGATGAACAGACTTGTTAACAGGTTTCCTCTGTTGCTTTCCATGTTGTGTCTTTTGGTCAAACATCTTAACTGGGTACTTTCAGCAGTTGTATTCCAAGGCAAACATGTTCTTTACTGACTTGAATTTCACTGAAAATTAAATTGCAGGCCATACAGGAATTGTTTATTCAGATATTGGCCCCAACACAAAAAAATTATCAACAGAATGTAATTTAAATAATTGCAGTTTGTAACACTTTTAATAAAACAGGATTTCTAAAATTCTGAGAGTAGGTACAATATGTTGCTGCTTCCCTCCAATAACTCACATAGCTGTGAAATACTGGTGTAGATATTTCTTTGGGAACATGCAGCAGTTCTTCACTGAAAACCAGATAATTATACAGGTGCATATAAAAATTGAGTGAACTTCTAGAAAGACCATGTACTGCACATACAAGTATTATCAAGTACTCGTCTGCAAATAGTTCCTGTCCATTGAATTTATGAATGTCACTTGGTCTTCTCAAAGTAAACATGCTTCTGTAACAGTGATATATTCTGAATGTGCTCATGGTACGTTTCAGCCCCTTTTCTCTGCTATCATCCTCATGTTTTCAAGAAGGAAAGAAATATGGAAATTTGTATCATGATTGCAAAGAACTGAGGGATTTGCCAATAAGCCATGAAATGGTTTGGCATGCCTGGAGGGGTGGATAGAGGATGACTGGCATTGTTGATGAAGTCTGAAAGCAGATGCAATTAGATTGATGTCTCTTCAAGAGTAGGAACATCTCAGTTTGAAAAATAAAGCTACAAATTTAGCTGCACTTTTGAAGCTGGTATGACTTTCTGAGAATGTAATGTGCTCTTCGCATCGGGCTGCAGTTTACATGGAGTTTGCTCCTACTCAGTTTTGATGTGAGACATGTTTATGCATTATGCAATTAGTTCTGTTTGAGACCTCAGCTAGCTATGAAGTGTACTTGGCATCTGTTTTCTGTAGTGAAAATTCTTGAGTAAGCCTGAGACACCAATATCAAATCTTTACTCGAACATATCAAGTGTCACAAGGGAGAACACTATAGGAGCCTAGCAATTGCCATACAAAAAAAACAAAAACCAATGTTTCTTACCAAGCTTGTTGCCTCAGAAATATCTTGTTGGTAGTGAGTTTTACTAGTAAAATATGCGTAAATACAATGTATAGTACTTTTTCTGTTTTGATGTCTTTGCCATTTCATTTCACTGAACACCTGCTTATTAAAGTATGGTTGAGAAGGTTCCAAGGATCACCCGTTCAGCCTTCTCTCTCCCACTCATGATTTCTATACCTCAGTATCTCCTCTCCTCCAAATCAAATAGGCCTAATCTATCTTCAAACAGATGCCACTGTTAATATTGGTACTTCTGAGGCCTTTCCAGTTTGTTCTGGCTCTTTTTGATAATGGTAAGACGCAAATGCAGATGTCAAGGTGAAATACCTCTTAGGGCGTAAGATTTTCGTATTAACATCTCTTGTTAATCTAAACCATTTTATTTTCTTTTTAATTACTGCTCTACACAGGCAAGCCCTAATCTTCTAACCTGGAAGATAACCACAGATTCATAACCTAATGTAATAATTAGTGTTCATATTATTCCATCCAATATATAATTCTTTTTCTGCCATTTGATGATTTTTATATTGGTGCTGCTGTCATTGCCAGGTCCCTGGTTCTTTTAGAGCTTCACCTCACATCTCCGCTTATCCTGTGTGTCTGTGTTTCAATTCACATTCCTGTAGATGGCTCCACTACACGGTATTTTCTTTCGGAATCACCTGTAGGAGAGGTGTCATAGGCTTAATAAAGTACTTTTGAGTATTGGTGAGTTTTAACACTTAGGATCAAGACAGTGGTTGCTTTTTTGTAAAGAAGCAACAAAAGAAATAAGCAACTTGTTAAAATGCAAATACATGCTTGTATCAGAAATGACTGACTTTGCCAGGGGTGTATAAGTCTAAATAAAAGCGTGCTTGTTCTCTACATTTTGATCAGGTTGAGGATGTCATGCACATTGACAGCCTTTTTGATAACTCTCGCAATGAGAAGAGCCTTAATGTGACTGACAACATAATTTATATTGCCAATACCACATTAAGTGGCCTTGTGCAAAATGAAAAATTAGGGTTATGTACCTTTCTTAAATATGTTAATTATTTTGCCTTTTTATTATAACCATCCTATTAAAAAAAGGCAACCCCACACACACAAAACCATAGGTACTGGATGTGACTGGTGTTCTGAGTCAGTATCTTATAGCAGGGCAAAGGGCTAAAAGTGATACTAAGGAGCCACAGCATCACTTCCCTCCCATGGGGTCAAATGGACAGCCACACTATAGATGCCTTCCTATAGGACACAGGATATGAAGGCAACCAGGAGGATGTTGCAACACAGAGATTCATTACAGTACTGTAGTTTCCAGGCAATCAAGCTATTTTCCTAAAGCTCAGTGATGTTTTTGATTCTGCATTATCACACGGGTTCCTTTAGAGCAGTACAAAGGTAAAAGGAGTCAAAGGCTTCTCACTGCCACTGTTTTCCTGATGTCAGAAAGTTGTGTGCTCCATCTCTCAAGCAGGCTCTCCCCCTCTCCATGTCCCATAGACAAGTTAAATTTTGGTCCTCAGACCTTGATGTATTGGTACCCCCTGCCAGACAGAAACTCAGGCTGGGTGCAGCACAGTGAGGAAATGCAGGCCACTGAAATGCTGATTACTGGGGAGGCAGCACCTTGTCTCTGCGAGCCAGGCAGTTTTTAAACCGAGAATATGAAATAAAAATTGTTGCTTTTGGCTCCGTATAAATTCCATTGTAAAGAGAAATGTGGGCTGGACAGGAGAAATGGTTAAGAACACAGCTTTATTCTTCATTGAGCTTCTGCTTGAAAAAGCTTAAGAGATGTTATAGTTTATCCTTGTAGCTGATAATAATTGCAGTCATGGGAGAGAGATTTGAAGGTGTCCTGGATCAGTTCTGCTAAGCTTCATTTGAAAAGGTAGCATCCTTAATAATGGAGGAAAACCAGCTATTTAAAACCAGTAGGGAAAGTACATCTGCGCTTTGTTGGTATTTTTGGAGCTATTCACTGAGTAATAATGGACGTTTCATAGGTTTCCATAAAGAGACCTACATCTTCAGCTTCATGCTCTGGTGATTTACTGTAATTTGCCATGCAGTAAAACTGTGCTTTTTGCCTGTTTGCATCTCTGTTCCTCTCAATACAGACTGTTGCCCATTATCCCATGGTTTTTAGCCTGTGCTTCATAAGCTTGACATTTAACATCTCCATTATCAAAAGGGCCATTCAGTTAGCAAATTAGCTGCATCTTCCAAGGGATGGGTGGATGGGGAGGAAATGAAATTAAATTCATTTCTTTATGTAATAATGAAAAGCAATAATTGCAAATATGTCGTAATACAAAGGCCATAAGTAATCTTTACCAGTGTTAAGAGTGCACTTGAACTGTATAATGGAAAGAGATTGGAGCCCTCGGAACTGT